ACCTTTTCCTTTACAGTTAAGCGAATAGAAGTTCTCACTCAGCGCCAATGTGGTTCATTCCGGCGCATTCCATAAGCCTCTCAAAAAAGGAGAATGGGAAAAACTGTAAAAAATGGTATGGAATGGGACGGAATGGGTCATTCCGTCCCATTCCAGCCCATTCCGCTTTTTCCCCCTTGTAAACAATGCTACAAATGAAAACAGAATTTGAGAAAGCAAAGCACGTCAGTGGAAAACATCAAATTCCATTCACTCCAGAGTCCCACTCCGTCACTCCGGATCAGCCCATTCTACCATTCCAGAAACGCTTTTCTCCCCTTGGTTTTATCGCTAACTTGATACAAGTTAAATAAAATTACTAATCCAACGAATGTTTACACGAATATACTAATAATGGTACAACAAGTCAACAGGATTGTTACTACACAGAAAACTATTGAATGTAACATTGGTGAGGTATTTATCTATCTCGTGGGTGGGTTACATTCAATGGTTTTCTGGTATGGTAACAATCCTGTTAGCTTGTTGTATTAGTATATTCGTGTAAACATTTTGCTCTGTTGAGAAATAAAAATGTGAGACGCTTGCTGAAAAATTTGGTGATCAAAAGTATCTTTTTGTGATGATCATTTGTATCTAAATATATTTGGTAATCAAAAGTTTTCTGATGATCAAAGAAATTGATAATTTGTAATGATCAATGTACAAGTTTGATTAATGATTTTTATCATCAAAATAAATTTGGAAATGTTGAATAACGTTTGAAATATAACTACACATCACAATTGGCCCATTATTTAATATACTTCACTCTGGACAGTTATGAGTCGATTTTTATATTTTCTATGAGATTGTCCTTACCTTGCCAAGCCGAATTCGCCCTATCGGATCCTGTAGGATACTTTTAATTCCGGTGCTTTACAAGAATATGGGAAATTACACGATATAGTGCATGCAATTAATTCTACTAATCCATGAGGATTTTTTCGGTCAATAACTGGAGCTATATCGCGATATTGTGTAAAAGGAGAGGGTGATTTCTATAGGAAACAGCCCCTACTGCTTTTAATTAATTTGTATATTTTCTTTTATTTGACTTTAGGCAAAGTGCGCTTTCGTGTTTTCACTTAATATCCGGCTGAATACTGTGCGGCTTAGATATACTGTACAATTTCTGAACCTATTTCCGATGTGTTAACTGTACTAGAGACGGAAGTACTCTGACACGCGTGTAGAAACGAGCAATGTTAAACGCCTTCAGGTTTCGACTTCCAGCTGAATCAAACTGATAGTTAAGAAATCAGCTTTGATCAACACGCCTGTATCCACTATCGATTTCAAAATACAGCGGAGTTTCTCATTTATTGAATGAATTGCTGAATGGATTTTATCTGTTTCCAACAGATAAAATCCTGCAGCTTTTATCACTGAAAAGAAAACACTTTTTGCTATGAAATGTTAGAAAAAGTCAGACCGAACCATCCCCGCAGGTTGTGTACCTCATCCATCTTTGAACGAGTTGATCACTAAGCCATACACACCAATGAATTTCAAATATAAATTTGATTATTTGATAGCTTAGACAGTGGGCCTGCAAGTCTATGAAAATCACAGACAACTTTTATTCTTTCATGGTTAATAGACAAAAAACCTAGTTTTACGAAAAACACGTCTTCTGAACTTCAGTCAACTCGGTGAAGGAAATAAAAGATTGCCACGTTGTTCAGTAGGGGCGATAGGCTATGTCTGATGTGTCAGATAGGCATCCTTTCGAACATTCGATGTAGCTCCTGAATCATATGAACTAGAGAGATGGGACTTTCACAGACTTGTAGGTCACTGTCTAAGCTATTGAACGATCAAATTTACATTTGAAATTCATTAAATCTATATGGCTTAGCGATCAACTCGTTGAAAGATGGATAGGGTACACCACCTGCTGGGGATGGTTAGGCTTGACTTTCCTCATCATTTCATAGCCAAAAGTGTTCTTTTTTCAGTGATAAAAGCTGCATGGTTTTATCTGTTTCCAACAAAAATTCATTCAATAAATGAGAAACTTCGCTGTATTTTGAAACCAATAGTAGTTCGTGGACGATCTTATACCAAGGAAAAAGTTAACTCAACTCATTTTGTATGATGAGAGCAACTACAGTATATATTTTTCATTTGATAAATCGTTAGAAATAGCAAGAATCTTTCTGTTTTAGAGTGATGATAAGAACTCCCTTTTTGTGTTTTCAAAATCCTCTCTTAGGTTTAGAAGAGTTTTCTTCATTTCAATTATCATTGTGACTATGATGATGCGAAAAAGAAAATAAATATTTTCAAACTGAAACAAAAAAATTGTTCGAATGATTGTTATTATTGTTGTTCGTTTGACATTTCCATTACTGCTTTTCGACACGCATCAAATTTTGCTAGTTTTTTATTTTTTCCAGTACCTTCATATTTCTTACCATTAAGAAATTCAACAATACACACAGAACCATTTTGTTCATCTTGATTTTCACTAAAACATACACTATTTAATTTAAATAAATAGTAAAATTAGAAAATGAGATAAGTACTTGATCACTTTTCCTCCATGTTCGGTAACATATCGTATCGGATTCAAATTTGGACTGTTCATAGATCGCTCTGATCAATTAGGGAAATACACACACACTATGTCCACAATTCAATTCAATTTGTACTAATATAATTTCTGAAAATGGTTCAAATACATTCCATACAATTTGTAAAGAATTTCCAGAATCAAAAAATATGGCACCAACAATCGCTTCGAAAACATTAGCAAAAGCTTTTGGAGCTCTACTATCAGCATACGATGAAATATTCTAAAAAATAATAAACACACGTAATGTTTTTAGAATAAAAATTGATATAAACATACACTATTTGAACGTTTATCGAGCGATTCATTTTGTTCAAATTGTGAAACATACGATGATATTTCTACAAATAGCGATGGTGAATGATGTAAAATAAATGATTGAAGATCAAGCGCAACAAATATATATCCTAAGCGTCCGTTATTAGCTAGATCTTGACGAATATCTGTAATAATACCTCAAAATAAATAAATAAAATAAATAGATAAATATCAAAATGCACAGATTATCATTTTACTTGGTGTAATATTTTCATTTTTTATAAACATTTCTCGTGTTACTA